AAAAAAAAATAGTCATGGGGATATAACGTATAGCATAGGGAATATAGTCAATAGCATCGTAAAAACTATGTATGGTGTCAGATGGGTACTAGACTTATTGGGTGATCACTCTCTGTGGCATATAAATGTGTAATTACTACGTTAGAAACCTGGAACTAATGTAACATTGTAGGTCAACCGTAATTGAAAAAAAAAGTTCTGTATGGCTTCATGGAAGGTGAAGGAAGGAAAGAAGCAGAGAAGGGGAAAGGAAGGAGGGAAGAGAGAAAAAAATAATTAAAAAATCTGAAAAGTACAGGATAAAGGAAAATACAACACACCTATTAAAAAAATAATGAAGTGCTCCAGTCTAGGCCAGGGAGTATGTTTGAGGAGCAGACACCCATGAAAGGCCTGTGGTTTACATGGCCCCATGGGAAAGCTCCTATAACAGAACTGCAGTGAGGCCCGTAGAGGGGCCGCCATCAGAGCTCCTGCTCCAGGGAGACCACAGTCTGCAGAGCTGCACATTTGCTCCCCAAGGGGTAAGGTCCGGGACACAGCATTCAGACCCTGGAAGCCAGGTGAGGGACCTACAACCATGTTCTATGATGAAGCAAAGGAGAAAAAAGTGGGGCTGCAGGGGAGGAAATGCCCTGGCCTGGGATGTTGGAAGACTCAGGCTCTAGTCCTGGTACTGCCTCCATTTACAGGTGAGATCGTCCTGAACAGCCAAGAAGCCATCCTAGACCCCAGCCAGCATCCTTGTAGGCAAGCAAGGCCTGATACATCACTGCTGTGCCTCCCAGGGTCCTCTTGGATCCTGTGGCTCTAAGGGAGGTTGGTCCAGAGGATGGCACCCATGGTTGGACCCAAGTCCCTTCGAGGCAGGCTGTAGCACAGAGCAGCCGTTGGAGAATCAATGAGTGGAAGGTTTGGAGGGCAGACTGTGGATCATATAAAAAAGGAACTTTTCTAACAAGTCGAGCTGCCTTACAAAGACAGAGAAAGAACTGTTCAAACAGACACAGAGATGCAGGGGTCAATTTGTCAGAGATTCCTGATCAAGGAGTATTTTTGAATAACATTTCTGAGATTCCTTCCGGCCTCAAGATTCAATAGCATTATATCATTGCTGTGTGTGTGTGTGTGTGTGTGTGTGTGTGTGTGTGTGTGTGTAAGAAAATTAAGTACCCATGAGCAAACACGTGTACTTGCAATGTGCCAAGAATTCACAGTACAATTTTTGTAAATTTAACCTTCAGGTCTCGGTTTGCAGAATATTTTCAACATGCCATATTACTGGAGTTTCCATACCTTCCTCAATCCACTTACCTGTTAATTATTCTTCTATGGACAATCTTTAAAATTATAATTCGCTCTGCACAGTCTTTTAGGAACTCTGACATTCGTTGTTTTAAAACTGGTTTCATTTCATGTTTTGCAATTGCCTTGAGGTGATCCCATGAAGCTTTGCATCTTCTCTCCATCTGACATAAATTATCCTGAAGTTGATCAAAGTCAACCTGAAAATCAGAGAGAACACTGCAAATGTGCTGAAACAACTGGACCCCAACCTGGACCAGGAAACCGAACTGCCTCCGGGAAGAAATAAACATCAAAACCAAATTTACATCCTGAAATACAAGCATATTTATGGTCTAAAAATTGTCCACAAGTGTATCTGTCATTATCTTGACATCAAATTATTTAGTGATAAAACTCTTCTCTAAATGAACCCAACGCAAATGTCATTTTTTTTGCCATATTTGGAAAGAAATCTTAGGGAAGTCTTTGAAAAGTGTAAATTAAAACATGATATCTAGGAACCCTAGTACAAGATGAACTGAGTAGATGTCTCATAAAAATTTTCAGAGCACTCTTGTTCTTCAGAGATGATATTTCACTTAAGATTAGAGGAATGTACCATGGTCATACAAGGATGGCCCGAGTGTGCAGGGGCCAGCTAAGGGGCAGCCAGCTTCTTTCATAATGATCTCTTTTACACTGTGTGACAAATCATTTTACTTACCCACCCACTCACTCAGTCAACCAATACTCCTGGAGAAACTGGTATGTGCCAGTCCCCACAATAGGCACTAAGAACACAAAGACAAATGCTGAAGGAGACCCACGAGGCTCATTGTATAGACAGTTGATCACCAAATACTGAGGATGTGCAGAGCCTACCAGGCATGTGTGTGGGCGTGTGTGTGTGTGTGTGTGTGTGTGTGTGTGTGTGTGTGTTCTGTGTAACCATGTGGTTGGTCTTGCCAGCACATGCAAATCACATGTACAAGGAACAGATGCAACAGAACACTTACTGTGCTCTGAAGGGCAGTGGGAACAGTCTGGATTGACTTAAGTGTCCCGAGATGAAGTTTTCTAAAGTCATACCTTTACAGAACTTCTAGAGGAGAAATCGTGTGAAGCAGAGAGTCAGTCATGAAAAAATGCACTTGAGGGCATTTAATGGAGAGAGATGTGGAATAGTGGAAAAGAAATTGAGAAGGTTAGGCAGGGAGGATGAAACAGATAAACAGGTGAGCTGAAGGGGGGTCTGAGGGGATGGAGGTAGGTGCACAGTGAGAGATGTGGGAAAGGACAGAGCCAGGCAAACAGAGTCAGGAGAAAGAAGATGTGTAGAGGTCAGCCACCACTGCTTAGATGCCAATGACTGTGGTCATGAGAGCAGGGCCCAGATATGAGTGCCCAACGGGACCTGCTGAGGTGGCCTCAGACCTCCAGCCCCACCCTCCCAAAAACAACAGAGGAGACCAAGTCAGCAAAGGTGGATTCTGGGAGACAGTCTGTCACCAGAAAGGATGAAGACGTGCTGAACACGGAAATGCCCTGGGGGCCAGGCAAGACATCACATGCCCTTGGGATTCTTGGGTGCTGAAGAGCCAAAAACAGAAGGCAAGTTTAGGCAGAGCGCTGGGATTCAGGTAAGCAAGAGGTTCGTGGGACTTTGAGAAAAATGATTTCCTGAAATCAAATTCCGGGTCTAAATTAGAAAGGCTTCACTTTCCTACAATATGGGAGAGCTGAGGAAAAAAACCTGGCATTCAGCTGGAAGTAAAAGATATGCAGATTTAGAAAAGAAGGAATGAGTAGTTCAAAGAACTAAGTCTAGAAAAGGATCCAGACGACATTGGATTGACAAGTAACATCTAGGAGGCCTAGGAGGTTTTAAGCCAATTGTAATAAATCTAAACATAAGTCTCTGGATCTGTCCTCATTTGTGTCTGGCAGCTCCCTTGATCCACAATAAAATAAGCTCAGCTCAGCTTAGACACACATTGAGTAAGCTCTGTGCTGTCTAACTGGGTGATGCTTGCCCAGCGCTGCAATAGGCAGAGCAGACGGCAGACACACATGTGAGACATGGTTTTTTCAGGGACAAGAGTCCACTGTGAGCCCTTAAGGTGGCAGCAGAAGAAAGTAACCTCACTGCCAATAGAAGCAAGGCAGGAAGGCTTTTGATGAAAAGCAGTTGGAGGGTTGAGTTTAATGGAACATCTTCTGAGGAGGGTTGGAAGGCCACCTCAGCTGGCTGCCCGCCTGGGCTGACAGAGCTGGCGCACATGATCTGAGTCTTCACAGTTACTTCATGACCTCAGATTCTGCTACTAGCTCCACTTCATAGGGGACAAACTGACGCATAGAGAGGTTAAGTAACTTGTGAGAGGCCACACAGCTGGTAAGGGGGAGAACTGGGATTTGAACCCAAATCTCTCTGGCTCCAGAGTCTAAGTTCTCAACCACCGTGCCTGAAGCTTAGGTTTGCTCCTGAAAAATTGCACCCCAGGGAGAGGGCTGGCCTGGCCTTCTGTTGTGAAAGGGAAGCCCTTGCCAGGAAATCCTTTGCAAAGGACAGCTCCAAATGGGCCACTTTCTATGTGTAGGAAGACATGTGGGCTGCACTATGAAGCAAAGTCAAGTCTTACTAAGTCAATCTGGGATACTGTGGGACAACACAGGGGCACAGATAGCCTACAGATGGTGAGTTGCAGTGGTGAGGCCCAAAGTGTAACACACCTGGGGGTAGAGTGAATGCAGATAGGGCTGGGGTTTCCTGAAGCTTATTTGGTACCTGTGTACACAGAAGGGCTCCTCAATGCCCCAAAAGGCTTTGGAAGTAAAAGCTGAGAAGTGGTGCCAGGTGCTCTCTTGACTTCTTGTTGCAAGTCACAGGGATCTGGGTCAATAGTCACCTTTGACATTTGCCAACGTCAATGGGTAGAAGCTATCTACAGGTTTGGTTTGTGTAGCCCATCTTCAGGCAAGGATAAGTTATTTAGTTATTAGTTAATAATAACTTAAACATCCTTTGGGAAAGACCTGACACTGAGGGGTGCCCAGGTCAGTCACTGGGGGCTAGCCTGGTGTCAGAACTCCTAGGCCAGGGCTACTCTTGTTACAAGCAGTCTCTACCTAGAGGAAGGCCCTGAGAAAGAACAAAGGACCACATGTAAAAAGGGAACCGATTTGTTCTGGGTGGTTCTAGAAATAGGACCGAGATGAATCTAGGTAGTCAGGTAGACTTCGTCTCAAATAGAGTGCTTCCTAACCAACTATCTTTTGTGAAGGTGTTCAAGGAGGGTGTCAGAGCAGCAACAGGGGGACCCCCTGTTGGAACAATCAAAGGGGCTTTTTGCCTTGGTTAGGATATTGAAGTAATATTTGGAAAGATTTCAGAATAGTGCCCGGCACAGAGTAAACGTGGTAAGGGTGCCTGTGAAATAGAGGAGGCTTCTGTTTTCTCAGAAGCCCTTTGTAAGCCCCCAGAGCTGGGGAAATCATTGGCCATGCCTCCATCTGCCTCAAGGCAGGCCCACTGTCAGGCTGGCTCAGGGCCTCTGCTCCATATACCTGGAAGCTGCCAGCCTATTGCTCCTAAGGCAGGTAAAGGAGGATCCCAATCCCCAGGACCCCACAAACCAGTTCTGTGGGAGAAGGCAGAAAGAGGGAGGGCTCTGTGGAGGGACCTTAGCAAAGCCCCTTCTCCATTCCTCCCCCTTCTACCCGTCACCCTCTTCGCTTCTCATACTAGATTCTAATGTGTCCCAGAGCTAAAGGCCATCCTGCTTTCAGCTCCTTAGCTCAGGTTGTGTTTCCAGGCGTTCCCACCACACTGGCCTGGCTCCTTCCTGTGCCCTATTCAGCCCCAACCCACAAGTCCCCTCTCACCTCCAAGACCCTTGTATCTCCCAGCTCTGCTGTGTTTGGGATTCCTCTGGGCTCGTTCAGCCTCAGTGATGGTCCTGCAGTGAGGGCAGCTGGATGTCCAGCTATTGCAACTGTCTCTTTTCTAATAAACCACAAGTTCATGAAGATGTTAACTCTGGACGAAATTTAAGACCTTGCAGCTGAGGGCCCAATACTGGTTACAGACCTATAAAATGGTTCCCTCTGTGTAAGAGCACAGGGTGGCCAATCAGTGGGGAGTAGGCGGGCAGGCGGGCCCTGTTTCCTGGCTCAACACCTGTCTGCAAGGTCTTATGGAAGTCTTAAGAGGGGTCAGATTGCATCTTTTTGACATTTTTGGCCACCTACAACATGATGGGAAGTTTTAATACTCTGGAAAATCCAGCCTGGTGAGTAACACTGTTCCACAATGGACGCAGGGGTTAGTGCTGGGATGGCAGGCTTGCCTCTTATACCTCAGTAGGAAAGAATCTGACAGAGAACCAGAGATGGGAAAATGCTCTTAAGGCCTGAGACGAGTCATGCTCACAAATTCTAGAGCAAGGGATGCAAGCGGCACTTGGCATTTTACTTAATGGAGCCTGGGCTCCTCAGAGATGACTGCCAAGACCCAACATCTGAGAGCCCGCAGCCCACCCCTCTGGCACAGCCCACCCCTCCGTGTGCACACACATACCTTGGCTGACCTGGTTACAGCCCCAATCTCTGAGTACAGATCGGAGCTATCTGGGAAGTTTTCCACCACCATGGTGCACACGTGGTGGAGAAGTGACTGCTTATGCACGGTGTCTTTGACTTCTGGAACCTTCTCGAGGTAGCTTAACTCAAATGCTTTGGCCTGTTAGGTGAACATTAAACAAATGGTAGGAAGAACAAGTTTTACGCAGGCTCTTAGAAAGGCACAAATGATTAGAATCAATGCCCTGTTGGAGTAGCCCAATATTTAGGTCCTCTGTGACTGAAGCTTCTCAGGCCACATGCTCGGCCATTCTTAGCTGATCTCACATGCACCAGCCACACTAGGAATGAAATGACCCTCCAGTCCTTTCCCACCAAGGCCATCAGTCACTGGCTGTCCCAGGGCTCTACCCCCAAATCAAGGTGCTGTGACACTGGGTCTCTGCCATCGGGGTATTTAAACATTTTTCTCCCTGTGGCCTACTGCTATTCTACTTACTAGCCAAAGAGAAGCCAATTTTTAAGTGTGTTTATAATGTGTATAAACACAAATATTTGAGTGATAAAAACAAATATTTGTACTTATACACATCAGACAAAAAAATCAACAGCATAGAAGAAAATACCTGTAATGTCAAATTTCGATGGAATAGTGTGTTTATTTTTCTAAATTTTCTTATTTATAGCAAGATACAGGTTAAAATTAATAGGCCCTGGTATTTTAACAACAAAATTCCTTCTAGATTTTCAGCAAGAAAATACAAAGTTGTTGGTCAGTTATGCTTTGGAGGAACAGAGGTACAACCTCCTGGCACGTGAAGGGCAAGACTTCTGTGACAAGGGAGGCAGGAGGATAAGGGATGAGGGAGACTTACATTAGTTCCATTTAGAAAGTTCCCAATGGCTAAGAGAGTAGACAGGATGAAACCCAAGGTTTTATTGTTCTCCAATTGGTCTATTCCTTCCTTCAGGTCCAAAAGAGGTTCTGCCACTTCCTTTCAATTAAAAAAAGTTGAAAGATGATAAAGAATGTACATTTTGGTTTTCCTCTGTCCTTGTTAAGTTTTATACCAGGTAATTACTGTGCCTTGGAGTTCTCCTCACTGTAAGTCCATCCCATGTGATGGGCACATGCTCCTTGTTATGGAAAGGTGCCAAAAGATAGTGGGAGAGAGTCTAGCCCCCAAAGTCTCCCCAGTGGAGGCCACATGGGTACCTGTGGCTAGCAGGAGCTTGTGCTGAGGTGACAAATGCTCTTCCCTCTGTTCCCCCATCTTCCGAGCACAAACAGGACCCTTCCTTAGGTCACACCATCTCTCCTTCTCCTCTCTTCTCACTATCGCTGACTTCCAGGACACTCCTCCTTTACATGTCCCTTCCGAGTCCGGACCCCAGTCTTCTTTGCCTTTCTCCTACCAGGCAGATGACACTGGAAACTGGGGCCTAACTGCCCCTGGACCACTCCAGTCTCCTAACTTCCCCTCTAGGCACTCTGGCTGGTCACCTCTTAGCCTGGGTTACTTTCTAGAAGGCTACCATCCTCTTTACCCCCACTGCCCTCATAACTCACACTCTCTCAGACTTGTAGCCTGCCCTGTAGCCTCATTACCTCAGGCCCTCTCTGCTGTCACTGTGTGACCCCCCCTCCCATGTTCTTACTGAGCCTCTCTCCTAGCCTGTATCCCACAGCTAGAAGCTTTCGCTTCATTCTCTTCAGCCTAACTTCTGCCCTGCCTATCCTCAACCAAGGCTGACCCCAAAACTGTTTTCTCCATGACATTTCCTCACTTTGCTAGATAAAGTCACCTAAACATACTGTTTTGTGACCAAGTCATGCCAAGTCTCCTCAGGAGTGCTAGGTTTCCTCAGCCCTGCTTGATTCTCAGATGAATTCAAACTCAGCAGTTTCCTCCCGAAGTCTCCGAAACCCACCGCCACCTATCTGGCCCTCAATATAGGACCGTGATCCCTCCCTTGCAGAAAGAGGAAGACCATGCAGCCTCTCCACCTGTGCTTTTTGATTCTGTCACCTCTGGGCCCTTCCTCTCAATTAAGCTCACCTCCAGCTCACCGTCCACTTATCCCCTTTTCTCTCCACTGGTTCCTTCTGCTCAGCCAGCAAAAATACTCCCATTGCTCCAGGCCAGAGAGGATGCCTGCTTCCTCTGCTTTCTACTCAAGATGATTCTCCCCACGTGTTCACTGTCAAGGTCCCTTTCCTTCTATTCTCCTCTCAGCCTCTTGCAATCTGTTTCCTCTGAGATATGCTCTCAAAGGGAACTACCAAACGGCCTGCTAATTGTCATAGACAATGGCAGTTTAGATGATTATCATCAAGTGGATGGATTACAAATCACTTTCCAAATTGTGCTTCCATATTTCCCAAATTTTCTACAAGCATAAAGAGTCAGAAAAAAATTTAATAGATTTTTTTTTTAACAGTCATCTGGTACCTACAATCCAGTGTCTGAGGCTGGTGTCAGGCAGACACTTTAGAATAACCCCTTACTGGTAGGATGGCTGATCCTTTAGTATAGATACAACCTCATCCTAATCAACTCAAACCTTTTCCCAAGAATGATGCCTCCCTACATTCACCAATGAAAAATCGACTTTCTCATCACCGGGGATGTACGATTGGCTGCCTCTCTTCCCAAGTGCTTACCTTTTCTGTAGTTTCATAGTCCATTTTGAATGCCCAAAGGTGGAGTCGAGCCGAGAGCTCGCTGATGGAGGAGAGTGTAAGCAGGAACTGCTCTGCGCTGCCCAACGGCACCTCAGGATTGGCCAGCTGAGCTTCCTGGATTTTCTGCTTCTCTTCTTCAGTGGGAATCATGGTTAGAATTTTCTGGAAAGATGGGATGACACAGTAAATGTTCTCTCTTAATGATAGAACCTATCTCACCCCTTCGATGTTTCCAAAATCATATTGCAATTTTCCAACCAGGTAGTAAAGATAATTCTGTTGTCAGTGCTCTTGTCATATAAAGGTGTTACACTGTT